ACTCTTTTCACCTCCACCACATGCCCCTTGCCCACTGGCTCCCCATTGCCACCTCCCGCCTCCTCGGCAATGCCGCCAAATGGTGGATGGCTGAAATCAGCAACCGTCGAGCCTCTGGAGGACCACGTCACTCCTTCCTCCAATGGGCCAAACTTCTCGCTGCCACCTTCCGCCCCCAGAAAACCATTGACGACTACCTCGAACAATTCTGCCACCTCCGCCAAACCGGTCCCACAGACCGCTTCGTTCAACATTCTTCACTGTGATAGCATTCAGACCTCTATAGTCTATACACATTCTCAGATCTCCCTCTTTCTTGGGGACAAAGAGAACATGCGCTCCAAATGGAGACGAACTGGGCCTAATCCAACCCTTCTCAAGGAGCTCGTCTAGCTGCTTGTGAAGCTCCTCTAACTCCCGCGGGGACATCCTGTACACCGCGCCCTTAGGAGTTCTACTGCCAGGCTCTATCTCAATGCGATGCTGGATGGGTCGCGGTACTACACCTATCGGCGGCTCAGCTAGATCTTTAAACTCTTCCAGCAGCTTGGCAATAGCAGGGTCTATAGGCTTCTCCTCCTTACGCTCAGTCACTGGCCTAACATAGGCAACAAAGACCTGTTCCTCCAGTTGCTCCTTTTTCACTAATTTTGCGAACGCAGGAGCACTAAGGCAGCAATGTGCCAGGGGGTTCTCTACTCCTGACACATGAAACAGGCGGGCAATCTTAGCCTCGCCTGAAGGACTAGGGAGCCTACACTCGTGCTCCTTTATATGGAGTGTGGCCCCGGCTGCCTCTACCCAATCCATTCCCAGGACGATTAGGCTGTCTTCTACGAGGAGAGTCAGGGAGTGGAGGACCTTCTCCACTTTCCCATCTTTCTCTAGGCGGAAATACGTCTGGACTCCCTCTACATAATCCTCTACAACCATTGTACGATTGTCTGCGAGGATACTAACTATGGGGTCTGCTAGTTTCTGGACTTTGCCCCAGCTTCAACTTCTGCAGCCCTTTCTTACTAATATAGTTGCGGGTGGCCCCTGAATCTACTAGGGCCCCTACTCTACCTCTAAAAAACTCGACATGTACTAATATGAGCTGTCCTTTCTGTTCCTTTTTCATCTTGGCCCAGGCACGCATCCTCTACTTCAATTCCTCAGCCACGCCTGTGAGGGAGGTGTCTAAAGAGACCCTAACACAAGCAGTCTCTGCACAGCTACTTAGACACCGGCCTGCAACCTCTGCCATAGGCTCATGTGGTGTGGGAGTTTCCTGCCGGCTAGCGCTAATTTCCCCACATGGCCTAATGGTAGGGGCAGTTGCTACCCCTACCGGCTGCTGCCTTTTGGCTCTTGAGCAGCCGATCGGGCCTCTCTATACTTAGGACAATATTTAATGATGTGGCCCGGGTCACCGCAGTAAATGCACTGGCCCCAGTCCACACGCTGTTGCCATAAGCCCTGGTCCAGACCCAAATCTTCCCAAGGCTTACCCTGCGGCAGCCCTGGGTGCCATCCACCTCTCCTATACCGAGACCTATTCCCAGGACGGTTTTGCGGGGGACCTTGACCCCTTCCTCCCACTCGGCGGTTTCCTCCTCTGCCGCCAACCCCCTGATCGCCCTGAAATCGGCCCCCTGAGGCCCGGCCCCCTTGGCCCTGGCCTCGTCCTCCTCCTTGCGGCCCCCCTCCAGCCGCGACAGCAACATAAGTTCTCCCCTGACTCACCCCACTGTCCTCATCCTCTAACCCCCACTCTATCTGATCGTAGGGGATCTCGTTAACACTACCTTCGTCTAACGTAAGGACAAGACTATCCTTGGTCTTAACTTGCCCTGAGATAGTGCGACCCTTCCACTTCTTCCCTTTGTCCAGGTCTTTGTGCCAGAAAGTGGAGACTGACACAGACTTTGCCTCAAAGGCTACCACTTCCCTGCTGAGTGCATCGTACGTCATGGAAGGATCTTGACTCTTCGCAAAGAAGTGGCCTCGCAGGGATTCGGGCATGGCCCTGTAGAAGAGGTTGACCAACTGGGTCTCTGTGACCCCGTGGTCAGGAACAGCTACCCATTCGTCCATAACACCCTTGAGCGCCCTGACACTCTTCCATTGACGCGAATGGATGGTGTGAAGCCTATCTGAGGCTTTGACACTGCGCGCGACATCAGCAAATCGCTCGCGCAACAACTTCATGAAATCTACGAGGGGGGTGAATGACGAGTAAGCAACTGCATCATCGTTGCAGTTGGCAGAGCGGACTAGGGATCTCGCAAAACTGGCAGCCTCATCTCTAAGCGCATGGATCGCAATCAATACATGCTGATCTGGGGAGACGTTGCAGATGCACATAGGTCTTGACATTGGCCTCCCAATTGTCAAAGTTTTCTTCCCTTTTTCCACTGTAGGAATCAGGGAACTTGACTTTGACTGGCTCCCTGCGAGGACGTGCCTCTTCCTCCTTCGGAGTTGTCGCCTTGACGCCTTCAATGGCGCCTACGCAAAATCGTTCGGCCTTCTCGAGGCGATGGTTCACCTCGGCTCCTACAGCGCCTACCAGTTCGCGAGCAAAGTCTCGAAACCCCATCCGCATCGAGCGCACGACCATATCCTGACTTCTGCTAAGCTCATATTGTTCCTCCTGTACTCGGGCCAAGCGCTCAACACTCTGAGCAATGATCTCTACTTTTCGATTGGAGATCTACTTGAGGGGTCAACTGTAGACTCAGTTTCTGCACCTCCTCTAACTCCTTGACCGCTTCACTTGCTGCATCCACCCTCTTCTTCTTCTCATTTTCCATCGCCTGCCGCTTTAAAGCATTTCTTTCTGCCTCCCATTCCTTCATGGCGGCCTCCTGCTCGTCCTTGGGGATATACATGGCTACCTCCTCCTCTTCTCCCAAAGACAAGTTGGCAACCCATTCCGAAATCCTCTTCACCATTTCTTCATTTTTGTTGCCACTGTACTACCCTCGTTGCTCTCTCCTCCTTTCCAGTGGCTGTTTTCCTCTTCCACTTCTTTTAGTTTCTCCTCCTCTTCTTTCTTCAGTCTTTCTTTCTCTCTGGCCATCTCCTCCTCTATCTTCTTCAACTTCACCGCCTGTTCCTCCTGTAGGGCCTTCTTTTTCGCCTCTTTCTTCTCTTTCCTCTCCCTCAGGATGGCGGCCATCTTCTCCTCCTCCTTCGTATAAGGCTTAGTGGAGGCACCACCCCTGGTATCGACTCTACACGTGAACGTGTGCCAGAACCCCAGGGGAAAGAGGAGACGCCAGAGGGTCCCCCAGAGGGAGAACCCAACAAGTAAACCATACATCGGGTAATCGTCCATGGTGTCAGGTGCACGACAGGACAGTCCCACTCCTCACCACGTAGACCAACCCATAGACTCACTGACAGACTCTCTAAGGACCACAGGGTAGAACCCTGTCAGCTATGGTCACTAGCCTAGACCTACTCTAAGGCTGTCACTACTGAACCCGTGGCTGATCTGGAGGCATTTAAGGAGATCCCCCAGGCAGGACGACGTGGTCAGTTTGGTTCTGCCTGTGCTTTCAGCCSACAACTCAGCYTTTCCRGCCTACTGTGCCACACCGAGCAGCCCGCCGGTCTGTACCGGTCCTTGGGAGGGTTCGTATCCCCCGGGACAGTCGAGTCGTCAGACACAGATCCTCAACCTTACTTGGTTCGGTAGGGGAGAGGTTCAAGCAGGCCCTCAACACTTAAAGACTGCCTGGTGCGTCAGCCCTAACTGTCGTTCAGGCCCACTGAGTCCTACCAACCGTTTCCAGCCGGTCAGCACCGGTCCTTGGGAGGGTTATGCCCCCTTGGAAAGTTGGATCAGCCAGTCTCAGCCCTACAAGGTCAGCCTAGGGTTTCGTCATCCAAGCACTATCCTTCGTCCACAGAGTGCTATCACCTAGGACAGAAGAAACTCGATGCAGAAAGAAGAGACAGACAGACTCAGACTCAGCAAGTACCGCCGGGCTCCTGCTTCTCCTCTTACACCTCATCTTTCCTGTCGCCTTCTCCTCTTTCTATCTCCCCTGTCGCAATTATAAAACCCGCAAGCGCGTCCGCAAATCTCTCTTACGTTCTCGACTCTCAAGCCAGTTTCCGGGAAGCAGTGGCTAGGCAGAGTGTTTGAAGCGATTCGGAAAGTCCTGTCGGGCTGACGATAGACTGGCCGGTTGCGCACTAGATCGCCACAACGGACTGTGGGGGTAGGCTAAGGGCTTGGCGAGATGTTACCAACTCCAGCTTGGTCAAAGTCTTGGTCAACGGCGCCGGTCAACGCCCGGTCAACCCTCTGGTCAACTCTCCACCTTGGCTATGGCTGCCGGCACCTTCACCTTCGCCACCATTGTCTCTTTCTTCCCCTTCCTTCACCTTCTTCTTCCTTTCTTTCTCTCTTTTTTTTTTTTTTTTTTT